AGTGGTGGGCGGGCCAGGGCGCCACAAGATGCAATGCTCTTACCGTGCGCCCCCACGCCGTTGAGCAGTTGCAGCAAGCGGAACTGCCTGACAAGCTCCACATCAAGCAGCTTGGTGTTATTGACTGGCGCAGTCGGCACACAGCTGATCTGGAGAGGGTGCACGGTGATATTGGGGCGCCCATGCGTCTTGCACTCCCATACCGGCAACGTGAGCCTGCCCACCACGCCGAGCGGCCCATAAAACACAGCTGCCTGGCTGCCCGTCTTGTGCAACTCACAGCAGCTGCCATTTTCTGCTGCTAAGTGGCAAGGAAGCGGCTCCATGCTGGCCAGCTGGGCTTGCCGCTGCTGGAGCTGCTGCTGGCGCTCCTGCCGCTGCTGCGCCGCCCGGCCCGGCAGAGAGGCCAAGAAGGCATCCACGTCCGCTCCGAGCCGAGCCTCCCAGTGATCACGTTTGCGTCCTTGCCGGTCGCCCCAGCCTAAGAAGCCGCTGGGTGCTCGCTCATCCTCGTTGTCATCCCTCTCACCCCGCCGCCTGGCCTGCCCTGGCACATTGAAGGGAGCTTGTTGTCCTGGTCTACTTGCACGGGATCTTTTTGGCTGTGGCCCGTCTAGAGGCCTGGGGGCCGTGGTCTTGCTAACCACCTTCACCCTAAAGTGGTGGCTCATGTCCTAGAAAGCATATTACGGTTGCTGGGATGCCAACAGAACAAACGGGAGGGAGAATGATGCATGATTGAGGATGATGTCCCCAATGACCCTCCAGGTGGGGGGCCATCATGCCCATCATGGGGCACATCCTTACCGGGAGGCCTACCTGCACATCAGGTAGGTGCTTTCCAAAGCATATTTTTCGTTGTAGCACTTGCGCAGCTGCAGCGAGGTGCACTGCAATTGCAATACATGCAAACGAGAGACCTCACATCAATAGTGGGCCTTTGCGGCTTCATTTTTGAGGTCAAGGCTCCAACCGCCACGTCAGCAGTCAACGGGTGCAACAGCCGGCCAGCTGATGGGTGCAACCATGCAGCGCAGCCATTCGAGCGTATGTTGGCTGGATTCAGGTGGTCATATTCATTTGAACTATCTCTCCTCTCAGGGTTTCTTGCACGCACCACCAAAGGTGCAAGCGCATCCGCAGGCTCCGGCCATGTCGTCCGCCCGTGCAGATGAGAGAGAGCTTGGCTGGCTGGCAGGCTGGATCCATGCATGGCCACACATGAATGCAAATGGGTAGGCCAGTGAGGTGTCTGGGGGCTGCAAGGCCGCCATGCAGGGGACTGGCGCCCAGATGCGGTACGTTCGTCGGCATGCGCCGGCGGCCACCTGTACTTCCAGCGCTGCAAGTGTGCGGTGCCGGTCGATTCGTCCTCATTTCGCACGTGTGTCGGACTCCCAGCTTTTTCCCGCCCAAATCCTGCCGCTAGCCATCATCCAGCTGGGCCGTCACCTAAGCTGGCTCTCGTCGGGCAAGCTCTTGGTTGCGGCACGGTTGGAGCGAGGAGATCCATCTCTGCTAAGAAAGGGGCCAGGGGCCGCTCGCCAAGCGCTGCCAGGGTGCACCAGGCGCGGAACTCGGAGCACTCGAGAGCGGACAGGAGGAATGCCGCCCAAGAAGCATTGGAGGCAGCGCTCGGTGCTGCAAATTGGGGCTGATGGAAAACTGGACGGCTGCGGTGAGCCACACCCGTGCCGGCGCCGCTGCCCCTGCCGCTGCTGTGCTCGTGCCCCCTGCGTGGTGTGCACACCTCGCTGCCTCGCACTTGCATCATTGTGCTGGTAAGGGTGCAAGAGGCAGCTCAGCAATGGTTCCATTCACAGAGGCCGCCCTCGGGGCGCCGTCCCACCGCCTTGCTCACCCCCGCCCCGCCCTGTGCCGCCCTGCCTGCGCGCAGCCGCCTGCGAGGACAGCGGCGAGCTGCTGTGCTGCGAGCGCTGCCCGCACACCTTCCACCCACGCTGCTGCGGCTACGGTGAGCCAAGCCCAGCGGGCGGGCGTAGGCGCCGCCCTGCTGCAGCCGTGTGACCGCCGCGCCGGCTCATCTCACCCGCTCCTGTGGCTTCCCGTTCTGCCGCCATCCACCCTCCCTACCGCTCTGCTCGTCTGCTTGCAGCCGGGTTTGACGACGTGCCCGGCCACCCAGAGCCCAACTGGCTCTGCTGGTTCTGTGCGGGACACAATCGGTACAAGCAGTCCACATCCAAAGTGAGCACCGCGCACCGCAGCGCAGCTTGCAGCGCCGGGCAGCCTGCCCGGCTGGCCGCCCTGTGCCGCGCCGCCCTTGCGCCGCCTGCTCGCCCGGCGCTGCCGCCGGAAGCCATGCCCCAGCCTCCTGCCTGCCCGCGCGCAGCTGGCGGTGAGGAATGGGGACGAGGTGAAGGTGGCATACAACGACAAGTGCGAGGTGGGTGCCCTGCTGGCACATGTTTTTAAAACGGATGTGCAGCTGGCAAGAGCGGGTGGCGGGTCGGGGCGCATCGGGTGGCTCCGCAGGCGGGCGCGCGCGCCGCGCCGGCACCTGCGCACCAACATGGCACCGGTGCGCCCTCCAGTGGGGGCCGCAGCATCCTGCTGCGGCGCTGCTCTTGCTTAGGTCGCTGTGCCGGCGCCCGCAGGTCTACTATGCTGCCAAGGCCACCTCTGTGACCGCCACCCACGTCACCTGCAAGTACATCCACTTTGCGGTGAGGGATGTACTGCCCTGCCAGCGCCCCTGTCGCTGAGAAGGGCGCCCACGCCGCGTGTTGGGCCTGCGAGCAGCAGCGCAAGCGGCAGCCCCCGCACGCGGCAGCCTGCGCAGGCGGCGTGTTGACTGGCCTCTGGCCCGCTGCCCGCAGGACGCGCCACCTGAGAAGCTGCCTCGCACCAGCGTGCGGCTGTGGCGTGGCACGCACGACCCGGCTGCCTGGGTGTTTGATAAGAAGGTGGGGAAGGAAGAAGGACAGCAGCGAGTGTTGCCCTGTGCTGCCCGCCTGCTGCCCAGCCTGTCCTCGGCTGCCGCCAGTGTTTTGCGGCGCAAGTGCGTGTGCGGTGAGCCTGCCTGCCTGACAGCCAGGAGCAAGCAAGGCGGCGCTTGCCAGGCCCGCTGCCGCTCGCTGTCGCTGCCGACGTTTGCGCTGCTGCCGCCGAGCCTCCTGCCTGCCTGCCCTGCCGTGCCTCTTGTGTGCAGGACTGTGCTTACGAGCCCCGCAGCCGCTGCGCTCCTGTGGACATTCCCAAGCTACAGTCCACTGCCAACGCGGCCCGGGCAGTGGCGGCGGCAGCAGCAGCAGCAGCAGCAGCAGCAGCGCCGCCGGCAACGGCGGCAGCTGGCGCGGGCGGCAGCACGCCTGGCTCCCCCAAGCCGCTGCAGCAGGCGCAGCAGGCGCAGCAGGCGCAGCAGGGGCAGGGAGGGGCGGCGGCGGCGCCAGCGCGGCCGGGGGCGGGGGCGGCTTCCCCTGTGGCAGCGGCGGGCTTGCGCGGCGGGCAGGAGCCTGCGTCGCCACCCAGCAAGAAGCAGAAGCGGGAGCAGGAGCAGGAGCAGCCTTTGCCTGCCGCTGCTGCCGCCGCTGCCGATGCACGTGAGGGGCAGCGCAAGGACGAGCAGCAGCCGCAGCCCAAGCCAGCACCGCTGCCAGCGGAGCCTGCCCAGCAGGGGGCGGCAGCAGCAAAGCGGAAGGCAGCGGCGGCGGAGCCGGCTGCCGCCGCCGGTGGCAGCGGTGGCAGCAAGCAGGCCCCGGGGCCGTCGTCTAAGAAGCAGCGGAAGGGAGAGGGGGAGGCCGCTCAGGCGAGTGCTCAGGCAGCGCCGGCTGCGGTGCCGGCGGCAGGCGCCAGCGGCGGCAAGCGCCGCCCTGGCCGGCCCAAGGGCAGCGGCAAGAAGCAGCGGCAGGCGCAGCGCGAAGCGGCGGCGGCAGGCAACGGAGGCCAGGGCAGTCCCGCGGAACAAGCCTCTGCTGCGCCTGAGGCGCCCTCTGCAGCCCTGCGCCCCCCAGCCACAGCGCCTGAGAAGGATTCAAAGCCGGCAGCGGCAGCCGCTGGCGAGGCAGGCACAGCGGTCCCCGCCTCCTCACCACAGCTGGCGGCAGCTGCCAGTGGCGACGCGGCAGGCGGCAGCCACGCCGGCGAGCCTGGCGGCAGCCGCCCAGCTGCGGAGGCCGAGGAGCAAGCGGCCGCCGTGGCGCAGCAGCCGAGTAGCGCGGCGGCGAGCGGCGGTGGCGGCGGCGGCAGCGAGCTTGCCTCCGCCAGTGCTGCTGCTCCTTCTGCCAGCGGCGCAGCCAGCCAGAGCCAGGGCGGCGCCGCCAGCGACGGCGGCAGGCTCTCTGGCGGCCCCGCGGCGGCGGCGAGGCGCGAGAGCGGTGCAGAAGAGGCGGAGGCTGCCGCCGCCGCCATGGCCGCCGCGGCCGCCGCCACCGCCGCCGCCACCATCTCGCCTCAGGCGGTGCTGGCGCAGCGGCTGGCTGCGCGGAAGCAGCCCTCGCCGCAGCTGTATGGAGACGCCTATGATTTGCCCAGCGATGAGGACGACGCGGAGCAGGAGGCTGCACAGGCGGCGGCGCCGGCTAGGCAGCAGCAGGGAGCTCAGCAGGGAGCGCAGCAGGCTGCAGGGGAGGAGCAGGGGGAGCCGCAGGAGGGGCAGGCGGCGGCGCAGGAGCAGGGGCAGGCAGCTGAGCCGGGGCGCGCTCCGGAGCAGCCCTCGCAGCAGCAGCAGGCGGAGCGGCTGTCTGGGCAGCAGGCTGGCAGCGGCAGCGACGTGGCTGCCGCCGCAGCTCAGCCGTCGCCGTCGCTGCCGCTACAGCAGCAGCAGCAGCAGGAGGAGGATGAGGAGGATGAGGATGAATGGATATCTATTGACGATATCGTTCTGCAGCCAGAGCCGCACCTCGCAGCGCCTGCCGCCGCCGCCGCCGCCGCCGCGGTGGTCGGCCGGCCGCCGCCGCAGCAGCAGCCCGCGGCCGCCGCCCCCGCCCCGGCTCCCCCGCCGGCGCCTGCCGCCGCGCCGGCCGGTACAGGGGCAGCCGGCGCGGTGGCTGCCGCGCCAGAGGACGCGCCCGTGCCCGCAGCCCCAGCAGCCTGGTGGGTTGCTGCCTCTTCCACCTGCTGCCTGCCCGTCTCATATCCTGCCGTGTGCCGGCAAGGAGCCCCGCCAGCGTGCGACCAGCCAAGCGCATGCCTTCCTCAGACGCTTGGCACCGCCTCACGTTTGTTGTTGTTTGCGCGTGCCCTCCCTCACCTCCACCCACCTGCCCCCACCTGCCCCCACCTGCCCCCACATGCACCCGCCCGCAGGTCGCCCTCAGAGGTGGCTGCCCTCATCACCGGGGTGCAGCAGTGCGGCGTGAACAAGTGAGGGCTCGCCGCCGCCGCCGGCCCTGCCCGGCTGCGCTGCCCTCACAGCTATCATTCCGTTGCTGTTCCGCGGGCTGCCTTGGGGCTGCCTGTGCTGCTCCGCAGGCCGGGCCGCGCTGCCGCCTGGCGGCGCCGGGGAACCTCTTGCGCCGCCGCTGCCGCCGCCGTGCGGCGCCGTGCCAGGCTCTCTGGCCAACCGCCGCCCCTTCCCGGCGCCTGTGCGCGTGCCTGCGTGCGCCCGCAGGTGGGAGCAGGTGCGGCGGGCCTTCCCTCAGGAGCTACAGGGGCGCAGCGTGGAGGAGATCCGAGCCAAGTGGCGGTCCATGGTGCGCGGGATGGCTGGCTGCGTTTGTGTTGCCTCGCCGCTACGGCGTGAGGGCGGGGGCGGTTTAGTTCGTTATTACTAGTTAGTGCCAGCGGCTTAACTGGTTAGCTGCTTGAAAGGGCGGCTGGGTGGCCCCTCCTGGAGGTCCCGCCGGGCTGGCACTCCTGTGGTTGAGCGGGTGCAGGGCGGCGGGGGAGGTGTGCCGGCTCGGTCGGCCGCCAGCCCCGCAGCATGCGCCGGGCGCAGCGCAGCGGCAGCATGCGTCAGCTGAGAGGCAGCATGCGTGTGACACAGCCCCTGCCCCTCCCCACGGCGCCGCTCCCGTGCTCCACCCCGCCCGCTCCGCTGCCCCTCCGCCGCCCCACCCTCCGCTGCTGCACCGCAGAAGGACAGGCTGGCGCTGTCGCCGCCCAAGGGCTGTGGTGGGGGTCCCAGCCGCGGCCGCATGGGTGCCTCTGGCCCCGCCGTTGTGGCAGATAGGGTGCTTTCGCCCACCAAGGCCTCGCCCAGAGCTGTGTCTACGCTGCTGCTGGCAGCAGCCCAGCAGGCGTCTGCTGCCGCTGCGGCGGCTGCGGCGGGTGCGGCGGCGGGAGGCCAGCCTGGCGCCTCGCTGGCGGCCGCCGCCGCCACCGCCGCCGCGTCCGACGACTGGCGCCACCCCTCTGCCTTCCCGGCCGCGGCGGGCGCGGGCCTGAAGGTGCCTCCCCTGCGGCCGCTGCCTGCCTGCCTCCCCGCCTGCCTCCTTGCCGCTCCGCTCCTGCGGCCGCCTGCCCTGGGCTACCGTGCCTCCTCGCCTCCCACGCCACCTGGCCCCAGCTCCCGCACATTCACTCTCACTCCTGCCAGCTGCCCGCCAGTCCCACCAACACCTCCCTAATGACACCTCCCTTCCCCCTCCTCCCCTCCTGCCCCCTCTCGCCCCGTTCCCGCGCTCCTGCAGCTGTCTGCCGGTGCCCTGGCGCTGCGTGTGGGGGACCTGGCGGAGGTGCGGGCGGTGGATGACGACTACCGGGGAGGGTGGTTCCTGGCGCGCCTGCTGCAGGTGCGCGCGTGTGGCATGTAGTGTGTGGGTGTGGGTGTGGGTGTGCTGTGGGTGTGTGGTGTGGCGTGTGGGTGTCAGTGTGGCGTGTAAGTGTGGGTGTGGTGTGGGAGTGTGCATGTGGGTGTGCGTGTGGTGCGTGTGGTGTGTGGGTGTGTGGTGTGGCGTGTGGTGTGTGGGTGTGGTGTGCGGGCCCTCCAAGCGGCTGCGCCTCCCTGCTCCCTTGCATCCTGCCCCTACTGCGCCTCCTCT